GTCGGGTTTTCCGCCGATCCAGGGCCTTTTCGCCTCCCCCCCCGGCCCCGCCAGCCAGGAGCCGGGGGGTGCACAAGGAGCTGGGAGGGGACACGGCCGGGACACTGACCCCGACTGCCCACAGGGACATTCCATACCATATGGCATCACGCTCAGCATACACCTTGGGGAAACCGGCCGGGGGATTAGATTGTGGCTCAGGAACTGGTTGGGCGTTGGCGGTCTGCAGGGGGTGAGCAACTGTGCTGTGCATCACTTGGTTTGTATATTCCTTTATCATTATTATTATTTTCTCTTCCTTTGCTGTCATATTAACTGCCTTTATCTCAACCCATGAGTTTGACTTTTTTTGACTCTCCTCCCCATCCCATGGGGGGTGAGGGGGGACTGAGCGAGTGGCTGCGTGGTGCCGAGCTGCCGGCTCGGGTTAAACCACGACATTCCCCATAACATTAAACCGTCATACCGTATGACTTCACAACCTCAAAGCAGCTTCATGTCAGTGTGTTACACCATTCTGGAATGAGAACTTTAGAATAATCCCTTCCATTATCAATCCTAAACTACATCTTTCGCATAATTTGTTAAGTTCTTAAGGGCTAAATAGGTCAAGAGTAAGTTAATGAATATTATTCATGGAACACAAGAAAAGCAAAGAAAATGTCATTGATACCATTTAAATATAAAAAATATCAAATGTCAATATTTGAGGGGTCTTATGTGGCGAAGGAGTCTTTGTTTTTGTTGTAAGCCTATTTGCAGACATAATTTTAACTTTTCCTTCTTGATAATAATTGTTTTTCTCATAGTTTTGTAAAATAACCCACTACATATTTGTAGTGGTTTTATTATGCACTAAGTAAGCAAGCTCAGAATATAGGAAGAGTTCCCATTGATGATTAGTTTGAGTAATACAACGTACGAAGAGCTTACCAAACACCTAGGGGAATGCATATATTATACTTTGGTGACATTCAGAAAAAATTTTCAATAACTGAAGCATGAAAAATTCATGTTGAAACATGTTGAAAGTTAATTGCAACAAGCAGCATTACCAGTGAGTAGGCCAAGCCCAGAGATAGTTGCTATTTGTGACAGTTCTGCAAGGTAACTCTCAGCAAATTGATAATAATAGGTTTTTCAGAGTGTGAAAGGTTAAAAGAACATGATTCATATTAACCCATCAACATATTGTTCACAAAACCACTTGTGGATATATGTGGCCAGAAGTAATTACCTCTTTGGCAATGAGGAAAATTGTATAATTAAATAACTAAATGGAAAAAGAAAAGGTACACCAGGGAACAGTCTTTTTTTTTTTTTTTTTTTAAAATGGATCATTTAATCTTAGGGCCTTTTTTCATTTAACTTCTGTGGGTGTGATTCAGAGCAGTAATTGAGTTCTGACTCCAGGACAGAAGCAGAAGCAGTGCAAATTCAAAAAGGTGATGATTCTTTCAGCTCTTCTTTAAGAACAATCTAAAACTAAAAGAAAGGTTACTTACCAGTAACCGATGCTCTTTGAGAAGTGTAGCCCAAATGTACATTCTAACAATTCTACCTCTCAATCACAGGACTCATACCTGGAAGGACTCTGAGGAGAGAGGAGAAGCAGATGGAAGACAAATGTATATGTGGACTACACATTGTGAAGAACACCGGTTACTGGTAAGACATCTTTTTTTTCTTTGAATGAATCCCATGTGCGCTCTTAACAGTGACTGAATCCAAGCAGCTACCCCCAAAATGACTCATTATGTGGTGGAGGTCTCAATATCTTTCATGCAAGTAGTAATCGCACAACTACTTTATCAAATGCCGCATTGGTTCTTGAAGCACTGGAGACAGCATTATGTCTGGCAAAGGCAAGGATGAATCTCCAGGGAGCTGCATTGCAAGTATCTGGAATCCAAACTTTCCTGACTGCAGAGGGTGAAGCCACCTAAGCTCTGGTCAGATGCACACCAGCCCTCATTAGACTCCACCTCTGCAATCTGATAGCAAGTCAGGACTCAACCCATCTTTGCCTTTTATTGTGCAGAGACAACCGAATACTGCATTTCCCAGGGATGAAGAGCCTGTGACAAGGTTGAAAAGGTATGGACCTGTAAAGATAAAAGGAGAGAGGACTCCCAGCTATGGAGATGAGAGGTATATAGTCTTAAAGTGTATGGCATGGGAAAGAAAAGCTGGAGTCTAATTCCCCGGTTAAAATGGAATTCTAACATGAGTATCTGAAGAAAGTCCTGGAACTAAACCAGCTTCTGGCCAATTAAGATCAGCAAGGTCCATCTTACAGCGGTGAATGAGGGCCTTCAGAAGACATGGAACAAGAGCAAAAGCCTGTAGTAGCTGAAACCATAGTACTAAAAATGCACTAGAGGGACTCCAAACTATGAACCATCTTTGAGCAAAATATGTCAACTCACAAAAATTTGAGATTCCCATTAGCCTGAGTGGCAAAGAAGTCTACGTCAGGTTTGCCTCCTTCCTGAAAGACATTCAGTCAGGACTTTAGACCAAATCTCCCAAAATGTTTCTGACTTTCACACCCAGACAAGCTCCAGATAATGCAAAGAGGGAGAGTTACTCTTTTCCTTTTTACATGCTACATCACAGTTGTCCATCATTCCATGTGTGCGTGACAGTTCAGAGTAGACTGCAAATCTTCCATGCACTCTGACAAGTTCAAAGCCACCAATATCCCTGTCCTCTACATGTCTTGAGCCAGAGTGCACTCCCCATGCCGTGAGGAACATGTCCAGAATGAACATTTTTGGTGGCCAAAGGACACCTCTCAATAAAGAGTTGACTAACCCAGCTGCTAGCAGAGAAAGTCACTGGGATGAAGGCAATGACGTAAGAGGCTAATGGATACACAAGAGCACCATTCACAGTCACAGCTGAAGACACTGGAGGTGAAATTTGGCATGTGACAAAGTAGAAGGAGATGACCCTGAGGTATCATTCACAGGGATGAACCTGCAGTGGACAGATCCCCAGTGGAAGACTGTGTTCCCTTTGTAAAACTATATATCCATGACGATCAGTATGGATTGTCAGTCAGAGCCTGTTCCCTCTGCAAGGAAAATAACACGCAAAGATGCATGAGCAACTGGAAGAATTACATGAATGGACATGGAATCCTCTCTGGTGTCAGGAGGAGAAATTCATAAAGGACTGACCGGATAAATTCTGAAAGAATATGCGATCATATTCCATCACAGTCCACCCCCATCTGTGCTCTTCAGAAGATTTGTGCAGCGGTGGGAGCTGCCATGCCAAAAAGGGTGCAGGAGCAGTGCTTGGCATGGACGGGTCTGCCTTAGCGGACCCACAGAGGCCAGGGCTCAGCAGGTCTCGTAATGGGCTGACAGGGAAAAGGCCAACCCACATCCCAGGACCCCGGAGCCCGTCACCGTAGGGTGAGGCACATGCACTGACCCCTTGGCTCTAGAATCACCTTTCTGCTCTGCTTGCGTGCATGTGTCTCTTCTTCCAATGGTTCGAAGGGGCATCAAGGAAAAGAGCTGGTGTGCTTTACCTTCTGGGTCATATCTGAAGCAGGAAGAGTAGAGGGGCAAAACTGCTGCGGTAACACGGAAAGGTTCCTAGCAACAAGTGGAGCCCAAGTACACTCCTCATCAACATGTACAAGTGGACTCATTCAAAGAAAGAACGGCTATTGCCTTAATGTTAATATGAATGCGAAAATGGGAAAACAGAAAAGTAAAAAAATAATAATAAATTCAACATTAAAATGGTATCTGAATTTTGTCCAAATTCTTTGGTGCCAAAACGTTGAAACATTTTTGTTTCATTGAGGGGGAAGTTCCATAACAAAAGCATTACCACAGTGTCTCAGCAGGGCAACATTTAACCTCAGCCAGAATTGATATCAACCCAGGAGGAAAAATTTACTCCCCAAACCCCTCAAGAAAAGTACATGATACAATTCAGCCAGGTTTAAAGGTTGAGTCAGTTCCTGTCTCTCCTAGCCTAGATTGTGCTCTGCCATGGGTTCTACGATGCTTACAACTCGCTCTACAGTTTTTCAGGTTGACTTGAGGAAACAGCTTCCCACCCCACCAGGCAGAGGTCCCGTTCTCTCCCGTGGTGCACAGCCACTCTTTACCTGGCTTTGGTGTTTGCCAGACTCCACGGCGAGCGAACGGACCGTGAGGAGTGTCATAAAATGAACACTACAGGAAGAACGACAGCTTCTTCCATTTGCAGTGGGATAAATCAGCTCAGTGGCTTGGCCAGCGAGCCCTGAGCAAGCCTAAGGGCAGATGCCGGCCTACCAACCAGCGCTGAAGGACAGCAACCCTGCCAAGGAACATCCCATCACTGGGACGCTGGTCCCATAATTGCCTTCCTCCAGAATGGAAATCCCAGTCCTCCCTTCTACCTGGGCAGCTGGGGAACAGGGAAGGTGGCGCAGGACTTAGGTGGCAGCCAGCTGTCGGTCAGTTTGGTCAGGAAACCTCGCCTGCTCTTACCACCTCCACCGCCTCCTCCCAGCAGTGCAGTGGGCCACCTCCTCCCTCTCTCACCCCAGCAGTAGCGCTCATCGTCAGTAATCACACATGAAGTCATGTGCCTGAAATCAGCAGCTGACCTGGCTGAAAAGTAACTTGGCGAAAAAAAGGAAAAAGAAGAAAAAAGAAGAGACTAGTTTTCTGCTTCCTCAGTGCAAACTCATGGCACGATTACAGGTTTGCAAAGGGATCCAGCTCAGAACGGTTTAACGCGCCAGGGAAGGCACCCTGCCGCTGCAGCTCCTTGGACCCCCCAGAGCCCCGAACCAGCTCTGCCCTGCTGCCTCCCCCCATTCCATCGCCCGCTCCATGCCTCCCCCCACATGCCACTACAGCTGGCTGCACAGCAACAAGGTGGAGCACCCACCGGAACCACCTGAAAATTCAGCGTATTTCCGAGAGGCTGCTTTCATCCCTTGGGCATTCGAGATCACCGTACCCCCGGACAGAACCGCCCCAGGACAGGACAGGACAGGGTGTGTGGATGGATGCAGAACAGCGGGGGGGGAAGCTGGACTGCCTTTGTGGCCAGAACGTCAGCCTGAGGGAGTTTAAGGCGTTTAAATAAAGTTTCAGACGCTAGCCGTACAGATAAAAGCACAATCGCAGTCTGCCGTGGTGACACGCTGACGGGAGAGCGCTGCCTGCCCCTGGGAAAGCACTGCAGTCTGGAACCCAAAATCGAGAGCCCCAAGATTTGATTCTGGGACTTGGACAGTTTCAACACAAACTAGAGCTAAGTTTAACTGTACGCTCTGGTCCATACATGATCTATTTTATGGTACACAATTGCAATGCAGAAAATCATCTAAGAGAATCAAGCAAATAATTTTACACAAATATATTACCGGGGTTTCTACATTACTTCATTTTATATTTAACGGTCAACCTTAATTTCAACACTGAAACTGCTGACAGTAAATCAGACACAGAGGAAAGTCCTTCCTCTAATTTTTACCGAGTGTGGATGATAACTACTGGAAACACCACGGTATTCACACACCATTTGCTGCACTACTGAGCAAACTCGTACTTCTGCGGTTATACTGAAAATGAACATATTCTTGCAACATACATATGTATAAATTTCAAGGAAAAGTCCATCTTTTCTGATACATATGGGATAGGTATCAAGAAAGGGTCCTTTTTAGGCATTCTGTTTCTCAGAGGAATGCTCGTGGGCATGAGAACAGAGGAATCTGGTTTTTTGACAAAACCTTTGCTCTGCTGAAGGAAATAGAAAATTTTCTTTTGATTTCAGTGGAGTCAGGATAACATGATAGTGTGCTTACATTTAGTGATTTCCTATATATCAGCTTGTCACAATTTTTTAATTATTAAATATTACAAAGTTATATACAATTTTAAAGCCAAATATCACACTTTCATATGGAAACACCAGAAGATAAAAGAAGAAAACAGGTTTTAATCTATTACAACACACTGAGACTCAGATCTTGGCCCCATTCAAGTTTTTCTTTGGATGTCAGTGGAACTAAAAACAAACCATAAAGACTAAAAAAAAAAAAAAAAATCAAGATTTTTTCCTTATAGTTTAAACAAAGTAATTCTAAATACAATTTTTATATTTCAAAATATATTTTATATAAATGCATTTTTACAAATACCTAAAAAGAATAGTTTAAATTGTTTTAAAAATAAATTCTTATAATGCGTTAGAAAAATTATGTGAACTATACCTGTTATCGCTCAGATTTAACACTCTTAGCTTCTGCATCTGGCCAATTTCATCAGGAAGAAATTCCAGCTTGTTCGAGCGCAGAGACATCACTGTGACGTTTTTACAGCTTCCGATCTATAGGAATGAAAAGACCAAAGACGTTAGGAGACCTACTTTGATAACATTTATTATCACTAACGGGCTATGTTGGGAGGTGGCCAAATTGTGGTTTTACTATAACTGGCAAAAAGCAGAAAATACAGAGTGCAGCCAGGAAACAATGCCCTCCCCTCGTCAGGAAGGCCAGGGAGGTGCCTGGGCGACTCGCACTACTCTTCTGAGCGGTACTCTCACCTTCACACGACTTTATTCATTTACCAGTTTTACTATTTCACTGTTGAGTATGTAGGAAAGATTTGGTCTTCCACATGGTGCAGAAACACTTGGTTTAACAGACATTTTGTCTGACTAGAGATGAAACCTTGAGCCTACCACAAAACATTTCAATCTGTAATTTAAAAACAGGATCAGCCTCTCACTTCTCTGGGCAGTTCAGGAAGGAAATTCTCATCCACAGCCAACGTCCTCAGGTTGTGAAGGTAGCCAATGGTAGAGGGTAAGGACTCCAACTCATTACAGCTGCAGTCAAATTCTTCTAATAAAGATAAACTGAAATGGTAAATACTCTTGTTAGATGCTGTACAAGGACTAGATAACAAAAATTAACAATCTAAAACCCTTGAGGGTTTTAAAGCATCACACTACTACTGTCATCACGCCCCAAAGAGGGGACCTTTATTGCCAATTTCCCTAGGAGAAGTCTATAACAACATGATTTTAGGAACTATTAGGGACACCGTTGATCCGTCTTATCCAGCACGGCAGTTTAAGAAAGACCACTTAGTTTCCCCACATTGTCGTTCCTACTGTTCGTAGTGAGGAAGTATTCCAAGCACGTCAAACAGACGGTGATCAGGGCAATTCACACTAGGCTGCAGAATCAAACCAGAAAGTTTATAATCTTAACACACAAAGACAGACAACAGGTAAAGAAATACCGCTGGTGGGAGCGAAGGAAAGGGAAGCCGAAATTGCCTCCAGGGTACATTCCAACTGACGCACTTGACATCATTTCTAATAAGGATCAGTAGTGACAACAGATGAACTGGGATCCAAACTCGGCAAAGTCATCTCAGCCCGTTGTGGTCAGACACAGCTTCTGTCACAGCGCTTATCTTTCCCGTGCAGAGAAAGCAGGCTAAAAGTCATCTCGCAGGGGTATCTGTACGGCAAGGGCCATACGAGCAAAAACCAGACCAAGGTAAGTAATCTTCTGACGCTCAAGCTCCCTCTTTAAAAACAATGACATCATCTCCATTTCCGTCTTGTATCCTTTTCCTAGATTGCTGTATTCTGCAAGTCGTGAAGACGGAGACCTGACCTTTCCTCCAGGTGCTCCTGTTTCCAGGAAAGAGGACGCAACAGAGGCACCTGAGAGAAACTCCCCTGCTGACCTGTGGCCCAGGTCAGCCACAGCCCACAGCACCGGCACGTACAAAGCACAGCTTCCCAGTGCACGGAACCGGCACTCCATCCATTCCTGCATTTTATTATCCAGGCAGAGGTGGCGAATGAGCTGGAGGTTTTGCACCGAGTCCTAAATGAAAGGGGCCCACGCGGTAAAAGCCACCATGTTCTTGGACACCCATCCCTGCTCTGGTCTGAAACGGTGTTCGGAGGCATTTCTCTGCTCGCCGGGCCCCTCTCCCCGCCTGTCCCACACCCTCGGGACCCTTCCGAGTCCTGGCTTTGCCCTGAAGACAGCAGGTGGTATCAAGCGACACTTAAACATCAACCTTACTTTGCTGACTAAGAATCAACGACTTGACCTTTGCTAATGCAAATAACACAAACAGGAATATATATGGAATACATGTTATATAGAGAGATATTAAAAATATATACGTATTACATTATATATATATTAGGCACAGACACACACATATATAAAAGAATGCTCTGAAGAAATATCTGCTGAATCTCTTAAAAAATTGGGCTGGACATAAAAATTCCTGAAATGAATGCTGTACTGCACTGCTCGTTCAGCTCACGGAATAAAAGTTTTGTGACTCAGTACAAATGCCATCGTTCCCTGCTTCTGCTCCACAGGGACTACCTTTTTCTCTCAAGTGCCTTAATTAATAGCAAGGTTAAATGGCAAGCAATTATTTCTTCCTCAACGTTTGCCAACTCCCTGCCCACTGACGAAGGGACTAGGTGCCCAGAAGATTGGGTTTTTTCCATAGGTTTTGGTAGATGTGATAAAAAGTTTACCTCTGCTACAAACCTCGCTCCTTAGTGTTTATATGAGTCAAGCCGCAGGACTGGACCTTCACTGTAGGTCTAACTGACCTTTATTCCAGTTTCTTAATTAAAAAAAGGGGTTTTCAACCTTCAAATTCTATGAAACATGAAACCAGAAATAGCTCCTCCTGACACGGAATTCTCAGAACTTTCCTCTAATTGCTGTATTTCAGCAGACTGAAAAGCCACAGTGAGTCACAGTGATTAGTGAAAGAGATGCATGGAATCCATCCAAAAGCTCTGCCAGGTTTGGTTATAGCTTTTCTTTAATACAAGCTTTGTATCCACCACAATTTATTTCAAACTAGATACAAACCAATTTCAGTCAAGGGAAAATTCAGTCATGTTTACCTACTTCATATGGAGTATGTGCTTGACAGAGCAAAGTCCAACTGGAAAGCTTGTTAAACTCCAAGATGCACACATTCTTCCTTCTACTGATGATAACACAACCAGAAAAGCTTGAAAATAGATGAGCTAATTGAGAACTACTGTTTCCAACGCAAATCGGAAAATCTGATACTCTGAACTCCAACCGTGGGAGTTTCCCTGACAGTGAAGAATGACTTTATCAGACAACAGAATTTTATTTGAAAGGTGTTGTCTGGCACAGACATTCTCAGCTTCTTTCCTTCCTGGTGCCATCACCATCAGAGAAATGAAGATGGCCACAATAAAAACAACAAAGTCAGCCTGAAACTATATTTTGTCTCTATAACTACCACGGTTAAGACCCATGCTCTTCAGAAAGTGATTTTTTCATTCATCATGGATTGTGCACGAAAGGAACTTGACAATAACAGCTATAATCCCGACGATGCTAATTTGGCTAAAATAGCATTAATCTTACTGTGTTCTTGGGCTAAATTCAGATCATTCTTGATAGGTTTAAAGAAAGGCAGACAAAAATCAGACATGCACTGCTGTTCAGTTTGGCACCCGTTGGAATGAGGCAGTTCACAGCTCGTGTCCTACGGCGGATGAGGAATGCGTTCAGACCGATTAGTAGAGCGCGCTGCACGGAGAATGAGCGCTGCCATGACTACGGGAGTAGTTCTGACCCATCTCAGCCCCATTTCATACAGTCACAGCCCTTTTCTCCCAACAGCCACAGCACCCCGATAACTGCCAAGGCAGCCTAAATCCTGAGTCACCTACACCCGCCTTTTGCCCAACATCAGGCAAAAGGAATTCTGCAAAGCCAGGAACACGTGTTTACACTTTCCTGGGCAGCATCTGGTTCTGTCAGCCACGGCATAGACTGGGCACACGCACAAAACACTCACCTAACACAACACGCTGGCTCTTGAGCTACTGCGCCATTGCCTACGTACGGGTCACGACGTCCCTCGTGACACCCTCCTACCCACAAAGCGGGACCGTGGGCATTCACTCAGGTCCGACAGAGAAAACCTCCGCTCTTTGGGTCCAATTTGGTACTTAATCGATGCGAATCCACTGGTTTTATGAGGAACGTTTTATTAAGCTGGGTCTACCGTGCATAGTGCCTTGCAGGGTAGAACTCCAAACGCCACTTACCGGCTTGCCCTTTGAACAAGACTGCCAAAAATGAGGGTGGCGGTTCACCATTAGCAACATCGACTCCGACAGCGTCAAAGTGCTCTGTGTCTCATCGTGAAATTGGTCCCTGGAGGGAGAGTTCCCTCCTCCACATTGCTAATCTCTGTGTGACAATGACACACTCTGCAGCGGGTACTACGACTATCATTTGGGAGAGAGAGACCCAGTAGGAAACTGTCCAAATGGATGAGTCAGAGGAAGGAAGTTCATTTTGATGTGGGAGACACTGTCCTCATTAAATGAGAGAAAGTACTTCATAAAAAGCACAACCAATCACTCAAAAATAAGGTGATACAATTAGGTGATTAGCCTACTGCTCTGCATACGCACCGTTTAGAGCAGCAGGATGCATCTTTAAAATGTAATTAAGGCTCCATGACAAACAATACTGAACAGGTATCGGGTCAAAAAAAAGAGGGCTTCCCCTTCAATTTGAACAAGTCAATAAATAAGAAAGCACCTTCCTGACAGGTTTTAAAAATTGACCCCCAAAATTGTTAAAGATAATGTAGGACATTATATCAACCTTTTTGCAGAGTGTCCAATACAGCTTTGAGCCTCACGGGCTTTCATTGCCCATCAGAATTTATTGCTACACAATGTTTACAAGATTTCCCCTTTGTTAATACTCTATTTATGAATATCACATAAATCTAAAGATACTGCAAGAAGTACAGCATGGTAACCCAAACCTGCGCTTTCAGTGCTACAGTTGTAATAGTTGACAAATCTGGATTTTTTTTTTCCAGACTGGCATACCAACAACAAAATTACTATTGAAATTATTACTCTAAAATGGGAGCAGGAGTAGTAAAGCACTGGCTGTGCAGGTTAGAGATTATTTCTGCTCTAAAGACCTCACTGTCCCACCGTACTTGTGGACAAGTCTAAATGAAGCCTTCTAGGCTTTAATTCTGGAAGCCTCAGAACAGCTCTGGCTTAAGAAAACTACTTCTAACGAGCCACGACCTGCTGAAGAGAGAACGGTTTTGCACCGCGAGCAACGGAGCAGCGCCTGAGCACGACTCCGCTCGCAGCTGCCCCCGTCCCGAGGCTTCTCGCCGACAGTTGGTGTACCTGGACCACCATGTGTCCACTCACACCGGGCAGACAATCACCACTTCGGCTGAGCTCGGTTTCTTCTGCGTGAATGCTGCTGCTGGTGCAAGGGGGGTGATGAAAACGCTAGAGCTATAGCTGTGGGAGGCAGCCAGGGACCACGTATTCTGAATTTTTTCCCAAGTATCAGTTTTTATAGCATTTCAGAAGTAAAATATGTAGAGGAAGAGGCGTCCTACAAAAATATCAGTGTTACAGATCTGTTCTGCTAGAAAGGGATACGCGTAGTGTGAAACTATATAAAGAATCACCTATTTGCACCCTTGGGGACGGGCTTGTATCCCTCTTGAATTTTACAGTAAATTGCAGATTTCATTTAGCGATAAACTCAAGACACACAGCAGCACAAGACAGAATTTTGTACCAGCGATCACGCAGAATCTGACAAAATAATAGCTAAAGGACATCATTAGTGCTTTTCATAATAAGATTACTTATCCGATGCTTTCACATTTTGATGTATACACCTATGAAATCGTCGTGACTTTTTCATTTATGCTACTTCACCATTTTCAGAAATTTTCATACAGATGAGGTTTACAGCCAGGTTCTTTTCAGCATCAAGTCCTGGCTGTTGCTATGGAAACAGACGTATTCCCCCAAATACTTCTATTTCTTCTACTTTTGCTGCTCTAATCATCTAAATTGCAAGTGATTCATACAGAAAAATATCTTTGTTCTTTTTCTGGGAAAATGTGATACACTTCATCTTCTTATCACTTACGCCAGAATAAGTCCACAGAAGTAATAGTGTTGCTCCAAATGTAAATGTTATAAGCTAGGTGTTAGGCACACATTTCAAAATTGTTCTCTAATTCAGTACATCTTTAGCTTATTTTTTACTTTAAAAACCCCACATTCCGCAAGCAGAAGGGAAAAGACATTTTACTCGATGTGGAAAATCATGAGACTTATACTCACTTTCCAATCGCATTTGGCAGAATCGTAAGCTGATTGTCATCTACTTTTAAAGTCGTAAGCCTTTTCAACAGTCCTACAAAACAGGTAAGGAAGAAGTAACAGAAAAATATTTCACGTTAATCTTTTTTTACTTTCTGTAATCTCCCATATCCTTAAATAAACAATGATTTCTAACACTGAGTATCTTTGATCTAGATTCTAGCAAACATCTGTATATAGGACAGTACACAGACACATTCTTGTCCCACGGAAAATATGTTTCATCAAAAGGAAGCACTGATGAAATGTTACGCTGAACTGCAAGTGAAATACTGCGTGTATTTCTGGAGTCTTGAAAAAACTGAGAGGGAAAAAAAAAGAGAAGTCTCCTTCCTGTGTAGGAAGAGTAGCATTTCTACTTATCTACTAATGTTTCAATTGAATTCCAGTCCTGCTGCCTTGATTAAAAGGTGCTCAGGTCGTAACAGGACACTAGGCGAATTACCTCCGGTAAACGCGACATTTATAAAGCGTCACAATATGCAGGTACAGACAGAAAACCGGACTTCGACTGCAACCCAGACTCAATCCTGAATGCAGGATTAGTTCTTATCCTTAAAAGAATTCTTCTATACCTAAGTGTCAGCAGGTGCGTAACTGGGTAACGAGAGAGAGAAACTTCTACTTTACCAGAGCGTAACAGCAGAAAACAAGAAAACAAGAAAAGACAGAAAAAATGGCAAAAATATTGCCCTACAGTGCTAGAAACAGAGCGTGAAACAGATTCCCACCTTCTGGAAGTTATGAACATTCCAAAATCTGGTTTTCCCCTGAAAAAATTCTGGATATACTGAAATAGCATTTTTAAAGTGATTATTTGTAATTATGTAATGTTAGGAATAATATAACTTAATCACTGAAAAAAGAGAAAAATGTTAAAACTGAATGTGCCATAATATGGAAGCTGAAGCAAATGAAAAGTATCATTAAAAGGGATACTAGAAACACTACTCATTCCAATTGCAGAACATTTTTGTTGAAAACTTTTTCAAAATCATCACGTTCCAAGAAACATCTAGGTTTCAACAAAATTTTAAGAGGAAAAAGTTCCACCAAAATGAATTTTAGCAAGCTCGCATCGGAAAATGCAGTATCAAAACGGCTCTTTTTGCCAAACATATCAAATTGTAAGAATGCATAACACAAAATGTAAACATTTATTCCTTTAGGGAGCTAAACACCCTCCAGAAATCAATCTGCATATGCGTATCAGAAAAGCACATAGAGCACAAATTCTATTCTTTATGGTGAGATGTAGAAGACCAAAATGGAAAACAGCTGTAAAAGACATCTAGTAACGTTCATGTAGCACAGTATTATTAATTAGCAATACATTCTGGAATCTTGACTAAGCTGATTTAAAACTGGGGAATTTAACAGTTCCATGTCCAAAGGGATGCACTTCGGGAAGTGAAAAAGAAGATGACGATACAGTGGGCTCATCGGCTGGAAGCAATAAAGCAGGGAAAGACCTCAAGCATTTCCAAAGAAAATATAAGGGATCAAGACTGAAACGCAACATGCAGATGTATAGAGTGATATACCTACAACCACTTGGCTTCCAGAATTTCTATATATTCTAAATAATGCAGAAATTCTATGCGTGTGATAGAGTCAAAAAAGAAAACGAGTAGTTTGAACTATTTCTTTGTTTGATGCTCACATGTGGAATTGCATTGCTAAGAGGAGCAACTGCCTTCAAGAGTTTCACGCTGTTAACATAATCGCTGGCATACTCACTTTCGAATTTAGATCAGATCAATTATCTCCTCCTTTGCTTATTTTCTTTAAAGTAGCAAATCAGAGTAATCAAAACCTTCTAACCATGGATTTTTTCCCTGACTTTACAAAATGGTCTTTGTGGACTGTCCAGACACAGATGTTTCAAACTCCTCTGGAATTTAGTGGCAGTTCTTGTTCCATCTATTATAAAGTCTCATAATTACCAATAAAAAAAAAAAGACATAAATCAAGTCCTCAACTGTAAAAGATTACAAGAAATCCTGAGCTTTTCTCACCTATGGAGTCTGGCAGTTGCTGCAACATATTGGATGACAACAGGAGATCTTCAAGTCCTTCACATCCCGATATGTCCAAATCAACAGTTTCTATCCTGTTTTTTGACACATCCAGGTACACGAGCTGTTTTAACTTCCCTATAGACTTAATAGCATGTTACAAAGTGTTACTTGAACAGATATACAGTGCATGCCAGCTTCTAAGTTTAATTAAAGACAAGCAATAGTAAGACAGGCTTATATTGAGCTCTCTCAGCATCCTTTCTGCGGGAGTTATCGCACTGAAGCAGCATTGGCGGAGGTCGAACAGCCTCCCCGTGCAGGGGACTGCAAAGGGAACCGCACCAAACCAACCGACACCTACCGAAGCAATTCATGTGTTCCAGGGTCATTAAACCTGCTGACAGCTTGACTGCTGTCACACAGCTGTATTATTTCGCCATTTGGACAGAGATCCGAGGGCCATTTACTCCCGATTCCCACCTACGGGGCAGTCCTTCAGGTCACTGGGCTAGACCTGCAGGCAAAGCTTCTCGGCGTCAAACTGATTCTCGGAATTGTATCAAATCTAAAATCAGACTTCAGATAGTCATAGTTCAGGTTTGAGCGGTGAGCCCCAACAGGGCGCTTTTGTGACAGGGATCCTGCCCTAATTTCTCTGAGAACCTGAGAGTTTGTGTCTGAGAGTTCGAAGCCTGGAGAAGCAATCTGCCGCTTGGTCCGTTATCACGGGGCGGTCACTTCATTCTAGACGTGAAATTTCACCAAGAAAGTCAACAAAAAAGCTGCTGTTATTTTCCTTAAATGAAAACCTACAAGTGGAACAGCAGAGAGGTGTCACTGCCGGGTCTGGAGCAGACGAGGGGATCCCGAGGAGCGAGACAAGGCAGCGCAACACGGGAGCTACCGTGGGGCTGCACGGCGTGCGTCCACTGCAATACGTCGTGAGCAGCAGGGACTACCTCATCCTTACGCAGAAGTTAAACGAGCGATATCGAACTTCGATTCAAACCAGACGAGTAAAGGGTGGTGGCCTGTGAGGGAACTCCCGTGGTGGATTTTGGGAAAGCCATGGGAATCGCTCATGCAGGGTGCGGATGCTACGGAAGCTCACGGGACGGGGGGTTTAGTCCTACGCTTAGTGGTTAGTTACCGTACACAGGAAAAAGGAAACCAGTTTCGGACAGCTTCACGGGCAGGTACTTTTGGAACAATGTGATTACAGCTCGCTTTTCATCTCTCACCGCGCTGAGATCTGCTCTCTGCTTCGGAGGAGGCAGTTTCACGTTATCTTTAATCGTACCTGAGCGGCTGGATAAAGGGAAAATCTCCCTTTCACCCCAACCTTTGCCGTTCTACCCATATTCAGAGTTGAATACACTCTTTGTTTTGAGCGCAGGCTACTTTTGTAAAATCTGAATTATTAACATTGGAAACCCGGCAAATCTCTAAATCTTAAAATCAATTACCGGTTGGTATTTCCTTTCTATTTTTAAAAGTCAAAATGTAAAGCTCATATTAACTGTTTCAAACCTCTCGTTCTGGAGAAGGTTTTCATAAAACATCATCTAGGGTCTACCAGAATCAGACTCAGGAAACATGAATTATTCACTGAAAATAATTGCGCTCCTTGGGATTCAGTTCCACGATCTACCGAACATCTTTGACTCTAAATACCCTCTCTGGGGATTATGATAGCTCAGCAGGACTGTGTTTGGATGCATTTTAGCACTGGGTATATTAACCGACCTCATTGTGAACAGAAAAGAAACAGAATAATGGTTAAAATGTTTGTGCCCACACTCTGGTATTTCTTCTACTCGGTTCCACCGCAGCCACAATACCGCAATATTTCTGTTTCTCATCTCCAGCTGGTTTCAGAAGCAAGAAGTGGTTTCAGTATCAGCTTTTATTTTCACTAACAAAGCACTCAAAAAGTGGCTATTCGGACAGTGACTGAAAACAACCCTTTCCTGTGCAAACATCCTGCTCAACACAAAATAAAGATGAATGTAATCTAAGACAAAAACCACTCATTGCTTAATGAAAAAACCTGAATTTTGATTAACAAATGTTCAAAACGGAAAGGGCAGTGCTGCTTCTTCTTTTTCCGACACCTAGACGTGTTTGTGGTAGATCTAGTTCTACACGTTCCCTGCAGCAATGAGGAGCGTTATTGCGTGGAACGCAGGATCTGTCCCCTGTGTGATAAAATGCTGGTGACGGGGATCCCCTTCTCCCATCATAATCGCGGTAAGTATTTTAGAGTTCAGTAAGAACTGGAAATCAAAGTTCTACTGTGGGGTAGCAACAACTCTCAAACAGCACTCATATATAACCATGACCCTAATGTTCAGATTTTTAAATACTTTTTGTTCCATTTCTAAATGGAGCGCTTTCTAGAGGAATGTATCTTCATTCCACCGCCTCAGAATTGCTTTTAATATAGTTGAATCTGTACATACCATCTGTTATTTTTATTTAGATTACTCAGTATTTCCTCTTCTTTTTTAAAACACGTGGGCTTTTATAAAACCGCCAGTTAGTGCAAGCTGACTGAGAAGACAATAGGAAATAATTTCCCCTCACCATGAAAACTCCAGAACGCTTAAATAAAACAGGCACATCCCCGTTTAGACACTATCAGGTAAGAACACAACATTTAAAAGGTTTTCATACGAATGGCTATGCTGAGACTTTTCCTTCTTGATAATAATTAAGGGCTCTATGAACTAGGAATACGTACCCATTCAGGAAAATGCACATGCATTTATTTACTGCAAGGTAAATAATTCACTACATCACACAATAATTGATTACATAAAATAAATGTTCATACCCCAGGTAGTATTTGCAAAGAATTATTGTCCATCCACAGTTCCTTTAGATTTTGTATTTGTTCGAGAACCTCAGGCTGAGAAAAAGAATATAGTATTATGGACAGTTCAATCAATCAGTATTTTTAAGTTACATATAAATCAATATTTTCTTTATAAAAAGATTCCCTCTTCTCTTTCCTTTTCTTCTCTATAACCTACATCAGACTTTCAGACAGTTAATGACATGAACAGTTCATTTGAACCGCTTGTTTTCAAAACGTGCAAATTTTAAGAACCCTTTGGAAAAGAAATGAATACAAAGAAGAACTCCTTAGAAGTTCTTGTTCTAACCGGCCCACCGGCAGTACATGATTTATGAACAAGGCAAAGAAGAGAAGTGAGAATCGTGGCACTTCGGAAACAATGCATTGAAAAGAAAGACCAAATCTCATCTTGCAGCACGTGCTAAACTCTGCCTTTGGCACGATTTATAGTCTTAACCATAGCTAAACGGAGGCATACTGCTGAACGCTTTCCTGGGTGTACCGCATTTATGTACAATTTTAGGTCTTCAGTTGTCATATGCAGCAGTTAAAATAGTGGTATGCAATGATCAAGCCTTAAAATTACAATATTAAACTTTAATCTGAGATGTTCTACTTTTTTCAACACTGTAGGATATTAGTGAAACTGAAAAAGGCAATTCCCCAAATCATTTCTCATTCGTAACAGCTGTGAAAATCAAGAATTATTAAGTCACAAACATTTCAGCCTAAGCAGTATTTTTTTCACAGGTAAAACAAGACTTTCAATTTGCCTAAAGTTGTAGAGATTTTTTTCAAAGTCTGCCAGAAACTGGTATTAAATATTTCCGGTTCTGACCAAATCAGATTCTAGCATTTTAGAAGTCTGTAGTACTATTTTAATGGAATTATTTCAACACAGCTAGAAACAAATGCATCTGTCTAACATCACAGAACCTTAAGAGAGACCTCTCATCGTCTCATCGTCTCCTCTGGTCTACGTTCCTCGCAATGCTGTAATTCCCACAAGAGAGATGATTTCCCAGTCGACCAGGTCTATGGCACATCATGGGAGAAGCTCCCGATGCATCATCGGGTAAGAAGGAACCTGCTAATCTGGAGAGCTCAGTCCCTCAGTTTTCCATGTTGTCACATAACGTGTTTCTATTAAAAAATGATTAGTCAATATTTTGAAGAGAATTTATTTTGCCTTGGCTAATTCTATTGAAATTTTCTTGTCCTTCAATGGTTAAAACCACTTCTAGTTTCCAGGCTAAATGAATTAATGGTCATTTTATGCTATTTGTTCCTGTGATGATTATGGTTCTTTATTCCTCCAGACTGTTCACTGACTAAGGTTATCAGAGATAATCATAATTTCCCCTCTTAACTTTAATTTTCTTTTAAATTCCTCTCATTAGACAGACACCCTTCTCAAAGGCAAGAAACTACTCCTATGTTGTACATAGCACTATTGATTTGAAATGTCTTGAGTATGGATTATGCCATACCATAATCCACATGAGATCTCACTAATGTTTTGATAAGCGGTATTAAAAACTTATTTGTCTCTGTTAGAAATGCTTCTGCTGATGCATTTTTGGGGAATATTTTCATTTTCCACATAGATTGCCATAATTAGAACGGAACGGAACGGAACGGAACAGAATAGAATAGAACAGAACAGAACAGAACAGAACAGAATAGAATAGTTGAGTTGGAAGGGACCTGCAATGATCATCTGGTCCAACTGCCTGACCACTTCCGGGCTGTCCAAGACTTAAAGAATATTACAAAGCGCATTGTCCAAACGCCTCCTCAATGCTGCCAGGCTCGGGGCATCGACCTCCTCTCCAGGAAGCCTTTTCCAGGGTTTGACCACCCTCTAAATAACAAAATGTTTCCTTGTATCAAGTCTGAGTTAAAGGCTGACATTAATATTTGTAAAAGTATATTACATTTGATCCTCTTTCCTTTCCTCCCTACCTTTAACTTTGCTTTCAAAATTTCTTCTAAAGCCTTGCTGCCGACACCACACTCCTGAAACTCCGGGAGGAACGACAAGCAGCCTCAACCTCCCCAGGCAGAGGTACTACAATTGCTCTTTATCATTTGTCCAGTGCCATTTTTTGGCACCTCAAGGATCGGGAGATCTCCAATCCTTGCTCCATACTTTGTGATTTAATGCCCGTTTTCCCAGAGACCTGTGACACAGATTACCTATTCCCTTCCTTGATTACATTAAGTGACTGGAAGATGGCTGCTATTTAAGAAGTGGCAATTTCTATTTTAGGAACACATATCTATCTCATGATTTGCATAATCTTGTTTTCAAAAAATGAATGAACAGAATTATTTCAGTTTTGCAACTACGTTTATTCTTAACCCCATGCCTATTGCTCCAGTTTGCACAAAGAGCAGAGAGTCTTGCAGAGCAAAGGGAGGGACTTCGACAGCCCAGGGATGGCCCGCCAACGCCATGAAGCTCTTCCACACCACCACAGTTCTAGGTAGTATTTTCCTCCAATAGGACGGAAGTTTCTATTGAAACCCAAATCAGGTTTTCAGAACGCACGAAAACAGGCCCTTTCCATCCTTGTTTCCAGGTGATCTTGATGAAAACCAGCACCACTTGCCCTATGACATTTCTGCAGATTCATGCTGTTCCCTCCCCTCTCGGCCCATTTTGCTTCCAGCATTTGATTCTAGTTCATACATTTTTGGACCAGCTTCCTGAAAAATGATTCCGCTTGGGAGTCTGGTCCTAACAGCAGTACGGGGCCACCAGACTCCTGATTTATCATTCTTAGAGCACAGTATGCTACAATGCAAAAACGGAGAATGATGTTGGTCATTTAAAACAAAGACTACAACATCAACCCACACCCGACCCACTCCTAAAAAAGACACACTGAATTCAGGAAGCATATATATACATTTCTTATGATCAAAATTCCAAATAGCACTTCTGAAAATTTTATTCTATTTATCTATGCAAAAGATTTCGAGTTTTAATTAAAAATCTAAGTCAAACCCATCTGTTTTCTCCTACGTAGCAATGTAAATTAGTAAACATTAACAGGGTTACCACCATAACGGTAGAAGATAGTGAACTGTCTATAAACCAGACGTAGCCCCTTTGCCACACCTTTCTACTACTAGATGACATTTCAAAATTTGTTTGAAGTGAAATTATCTGAATTTTAATTAAAGCTACAGAAAATATCACCCTCATAAAATTGTAATCCCTGATTCAGCAGCACTATTTTTGCAGACTGTTCTTCCATGACTGAGGGAAGGTGGTTCCGCTCATGGGGTTTGACAGCGACAGGACAGGCTGTTGGTGGGTAAGGCACATTTATTCCACCGTCAGCGCAGGAGCGAGTGTGACAGCATTAACTGGTTGTCCTACAAACGCACAAGCCCTCCCGAATAGCCCTAGCAGTGAGAGGTCTCAAAAGGGATGAGGCAGCAGCTGTTCTGCGTGGTGCTTCTCCCAACATCCTCCCCTTTCCTGCAGGATGACGTCAGTGAGCTCTCCCTAACACCGGGCACATTTTACCACGCGGTTTAAGCACCCTCATAGTGATTCTGCGAAGAGTCAATTCCTACAGCTAGAGCAGAAACACACCTAAAGGGAACAGCAACTTCATTGGTTTCGATACTGATACCAGAGGAAATGCCCGGAAGCTATTAAATCTCAGGGAACCTAATTCTCATCTTAGAGGCGGATTAGGGACAGAAAGCGCTTTTGGCGTCCGAAATTTACTTCTGCTAATAGCAATTTCTAATATTTGCAGGCTATAATGACAGACATTAAGACATTAATACATAATTGACACAAGTATTTCTACTGAGACCACCAATTCATCCCACATCGAAGCATTCCAGCAGTAGCAACCAGCTTAGAGTGAGAATCATCAGTGACCTCGATCTGAACTGCCGACGAAGGATGTTGTATTATCAACGTTCACCTCAAGAACTTGGATAAATCTGTTCTACAAGGAAATGCGACCACGGCATGTGGCCACGATACAATAATGCCTTTTAAGTACAAGTTTAATGCCCCACGCACAGAGGACCCAAACCACCCAGGCTTTCTATTAAAAAATGGTGCGTTTCTTACCAGCTCAGAGAATTCATTATTGCCCAGATCAAGTCTCTCCAGTTGAGTCAGTTTGTGCATTGACCTGTAACAGATTAGGAAACATCTCAGATGAAATTTTTCCTTGCAAAACATCAGTCAGATTTTGTTTAGATAAAAATAAAGCTCAAATTATACTGTTATTGCAAAAAGAATTACAGCAGATTGACGCTGATGCAGACCAGAACAACACACTCCATCTTTAAGACATGAGCTAAAGTTCCTGAACTAAAAAGCTAGCAACGATAACTTCAGTATAAAAATAAACATAAAATTGTGGTATAATTTCGCATAGTTGCTCAAGGAAAATGACCCATCTTGTATTTGTAAGCAACTGAAAGCAATATAAATTGTGACATTTTTGATACACATTTATAAATTTGTTATCAACTTCTTTATAAACCACTAGAAAGTGTTTTGGCTGTTCGTAACAAAAGCACCAAGTATGGCTGTTACCTCCCTGAAGCTGTACCTAACTACAGTCGCGCCGGAACGCCCCTTCGCGCCAAGGACCGGCGCAAATCCTGCGTGCGAACGGAGTTAAGCTCCGGTGAGGTTTGCGCTGAGCGCGTGGGCTGGGCTAGCAGAATGCACGGAGCGAGGGGTGCCCTCCTCTTTGGGTTCCCTTTCAGTAGTAAGCAAACAAACCGTCAGACGGGTAAGCCGTGGTATTTAGTGACGCTTGCTGTCCGCCGGCGGCTGAGGAAAAACTCTGCCGTTAGTAAGGGGATGAAGAGCAGAAGGCGGATTTTTAATTAACGAGCAACGTGAGCTTCAAGCTGCAAAGGCAGGCACTGGTGTCCGTGCACGGGGCAGGGCAGGGAGGGGGTGAGCTCCGCGACACGCGGGTGCCTGGGAGCAGCGCGCCCTGCTCAGCACTGTGCTCAGCACCATGCTCAGCACCGCGCACGGCCGGGCAGCAGCTCCGCTGAAGGCAAGAAGGGCTTCGCGCAGCCTCTCGTGCGAAATACCACATGAAATGACAGCAAAATCAGCCAAAGCAGCTTATTCTTCTTCACGGCATTATAAAAGAAAGAGTCACGTGAGACCGTATCGGGAGAAGGCAAACCGTTAACACCCGCCGTGCTTTATGCAGTAAAGGGCTTCAAATGAGGAACAACCTGGAGTTACGTCTGTGACTGATCACCACGGACCAGCAACAAAAGGCACTTCTACTGCCCGGGCTCAGGTGACTCAAACAGTGAAATAAGAGGAAAAGCGAGAAATTGCTCAAAATACCGCCATTAAATTCTTCCTTTACTGAAGTCAATGGGATAAATCTCCCAGGTTTATCTCCAAACCTGTGCTGTGAGAAAACCTGGTTATCCCAAGCACAGCTTAAGCGGCAGAGAGCCCAGCAGATGGGGCTGCCTGGTAGAAGCATTTAGAATCTACCCGTTCTGAATATAGGCAAACTTCTCAGAAATACGCAGAAGTTTTAAAAACCGTACTCAGAAAAGGTGACAGCAGAAGCACTGACTCCAAGAAGCAATCCCAACGCAGCAACGATCTGTTAAAACGAGAGGGGGATTGCCGAGCAGGAGTTGAAGGACTGAGCACGCTGAAAGGGTGGCAGGGCTGAGGCTGCCTGAACGGAACGGACCTTCGGCACTTGGGCGGTGTCCAGCTTTGCCCAGGTTGGAAAAAAAATCAGATTTTTCTGAACTAATTTACTGCTGATACACGTGTACTATTTGGTACTTCAGGCCTTTCCAAAATGATAGAAATTCGTATTTGTATGAAATGAAGACTAGGAAGTTGTATTCAAAATTACTATGACATTGGAGAATAAGAACGATTTCATCATTTGAATATATCAATCTTGATTTTTTATAATGGTTGACTTTTAAAATGAGTAAAGGATTTAAAATAGTGCACTCAATACCCTTGCTTTGTATTTTAAAAGGTTATTAAATTTAAACCAAATGGCTTTACAAATACTCCATAAAGCTTTCGCTCATTTTGTAGAAAAGGGAGTAGTTACGAGGGGAGCCCTGCAGGACTCGGCCCGCCAGCTCTGCCCCCCCACAGCACCCAGTGCTGCGAGGGGTGCAGGGTGCCCGGGCCAGGACCTGCCCAAACACCGTGGGCTCCCCTGTTCCGCATCAAGTTCAAGGTTAAGAAATTAATGACCGCCTTTCCTTCCGTGAACAAAACCAGAACAGGATATTACCTCCACGGCAGAATTTCTCTTTAAGCCCTGGTAGAGCGATACGCTCTGAACACCTTACTGGATCTGGTGGCGGTGGCAAAAAAAGCAGATAAAATAATGAAGTAGTTTAGCATTAACTGCAGCAGTTGGTTCAGAGGCCGCCCAATGTAATCAGAGCGGATCCTAACCCAAAACTTAGCATAATCTTAATCGATGGGATCTCAAATATTGACCGTTTTATCTCTGCAACTTGAATCGGAAGTAAAACTGATTATCAAAGGTGCTATGGCTAAAAACCACAGACCTGTTTTAACGTTAAAGTTGTGGAAAAATGAGGTTGTGACAGGGGTAGATAGAGAACACCTCTGCATATTTATTGCAGGCTAACTTTACTTTTAGTTTTCTAAACAGGAAAAAAAAAATCACAGAACTATAACTGCCAATCTTCAATAGTAGCACGAAGCATTTTCTCTAGATGTATGTTAGCAAAATCAAAAAACATGCAGATAAACAAATACTCCGCTCTCAAGTTTAAGAAGTTATATACTTTATGAGATTTCTTTAATTAAACAGACACTTTGACTGACCTACTGTGTTTCCTTCCCATTCAGCATAACTCCAAGGAATGAATCTTACGGCCACAAATTAAGATCAGGCATCAGATGCGCTTCTGTACGTTAGGGCAATTAACGTTCTGCGCAGAGAAGTCGTTAAAATCTATCTAAGCCTCTTAGGCAAAGAGTTCACCACCGAACCAAACGAATAATTCCTTCTGCTAGAACCTGCTGGCTTTCCTCGTTAGGCTGTTGCCTTTCATCTCGCATAGGCCGCGGTATTTTCAAACAGAGGAAATTTCAGCCTGGTAAGGCGATAACCACCGGTGCACTTACACAACAAGTTTGGGAAGTGCCATGCCAAGTCCCGACGTCCTTCGGAACGGGTGTTACCCGCACTGTGACACCACTGGCGATGCCACTGGGGGACATTATCCTGTACCACTGATTTCTGCGGTGCCCTCGCCGTTACAGTATGCCTGCCCTCACCTCCACGGCTTTCTAAAATGTTCTCCTAAGTGTTCATCTTCCTACTTGTTCATTACTGGTCTTTTTTGGTCCAGTTTTGCACAATCTCAGTTTCCTAGCGAGTCTTTGAAACCTAGCAAACATGTTATTTCTGCTGGTCGCTTGGTGTTTTGGAAGTATCTAGAAACAGTCACAGGTTACTTTAAGAATCATTTCATCTTTCCATGCTGACAGTCACCCTAACGGAGATTGATTCATGATAACTTTTTAACGCTTTCTGCTAGTTCACCTATTTCATACTCACTCAAGTTCACTGTTGTATGTGGTTTCTTTATATTTTTGTCTTTTTCCTGTCCCACAGCTATTCCACGTCTCTTTTCCAATGTATTTTCCAGCCCATTTGATCAATGTTCACAAATATCTTTCAAACAGGAAAGCGACAGATGATACTTTTTGCTTGTTTGCTAAAATAAACGGTAGCTGCCCACACAGCTCTGAAGGGGTTAGCACCGAAATGAGAACCAAGTGAAAAAGTAACAACAAATTTTTGACTACAAGGCACAAAGCGAGATGTCGTAGTTTAAGCATGGAGGAGTTAAATCTGACGCTATCCCAAAGCAGCATTTACCACTATAGCTATGATCAGCCCAGACTGAGCACAGACTCTTAAACAGAAAGGGACTTTCTATGTACTCTACACAGACCCCACTGTAGTAATAAAAATCTTGACTCGTGCTCCCCAATTCCCAACTTGCTGCTTACTGCATTTTTGTTCTTAGAGTATTCATTACTTTGAATTATTCTTGCTATAAAACCAGAAGGCATAATGAAAATACTTTATCTTTTCATAGTAAGCCCTTAGTATGCAAGAGGATCCGGCAGGCTGGGAGCCATTCAAGCAATAAGCATCCACCAGCAGAGCAGACGAGGATGGTCAAGAAGGATAATGAGGTCACCGGGACAAAGCAAATGGTTCACACTCTCCCCCAAAGGACCCATTTCGTATTACAATCTCCACTAAAATAACAGTGAAAAATGTTTTTAACCCCTCTGGTGCCCCAACTGCACTGTGCTTCCCTTCGGAGACGTCTTGCACAAGCTGAGTGACGTGTTACACACACAGAGGAAAGCTGAGCGCATTGAACAAGGAGGCCAGACGCTCAAGCCAAGCTCAGCCACGCTCCCTGGCTCTGCCGCAACGCAGTCGTCCCTGGAAAAGTCTGCCGTTGGTCTAACCGACTCCTCCTAACGCTTCCACGTTGTGTCTTAATTGATTTGTTACTAATCCAGTTCAGACTTCTGCCATTTAGATACAAGTTGTAAATATCATATACAAATTTTTAAATTAATTGAACTCAATGGAGTAAGTAATTACATTTATAATTGCAAACTTGATGACTATGGACGCTCTTATTACCATCCAAAATCTCATTAACTTTAGGAGAGTTCTTTACACTAACGTGTGTGCTCCCCGCCAGCAAGTGTTCGCAAGACTGGGCTCAAGAGCTTTCTAAAAATGATGACACTTATTTATCCACAATTTACCTGTTGCTGTTTTGGAAATCAAAGCATTTTTGCTTAAAACAAACCAATTGGGCCCCTTTGAAGACGAGCCACTCGGTAGGCAGCAAGGCAGTGCACACGCTCTCAGCCTGGACGATAAAGTCACGAAAAGCATTTAAACATTCCCAAGTTCCTTTAACAAACCCTGACGGCAGGTTTCACTCCGTTTTACGCCACAGGAAACACATTTCAGCATGCGAGCATCACCAGATTACAGTCCTTCACACTTGCAGACGTTGCACGTTTTTCAGTTACAGGATTCACGCCATGCACACCAGCGCTCCGTAGTGCAACGCTCTCACCATTAAC